GCCTGTATGGTGGGCTCTGGAATTGTGAGCCTCAGGAGGCAGAAGTTCTTGGGGGGAAGTTCTGGTCATCTGGATTAGGGTCCTTGGACCCATCTGTGTGGTGGGTGCTGTGTCTGTGAGCCCGAAGAGCAGGGAACTTATGGGGCCCTGGTCAAGTGGCTTGGCGTAACAATAGCACTGGGGAAAGCTTACTAGTCACCCATGGGGACACCTGTGGATATCTGATATGTAGGCTTGCAGGGGTCTGGCAGTGGCACAGGTATGGGCATGCAGGAGCCTGGGGTCTCACATCTAGGATTGGTGGTCCAACCGTGGAGTCCATGTGTCAGAGCTGGGCCTCCTCAGAGGAGAAGACAGAGCAGTGCATGGCTGGTTCAGAAGCTATAGCAGCCCACTGGGGCCTGCAGAGGACATCTGGTACCATAGTAGAGGAAGGGGGACAGAAATTACACAACTACCCCAGCCAAATGAAGATAGCAAAAATTTGGGTGAATGGAGACTCTAAGTTTGACTATGTCAACCAATGGACATTTGGAAGGGGTTTCTCACCCTTGGATTAGTGATATTGATAGCATTTCAAAACGAGTGAAGACACTTAGGCAGAACTCTTGGAGCATGTGTTATATCAGAGACCCTGGGTTGATATCGGGTGGCTGTTCCCCATCGGTGGGTACTGGGGAGGCTGGGTACATACAGCCTCTCCCCTTATCTCCTCCCTTCCGCCAGAAAGAAGAAGAACAAACAGAAAATGTGAAAACAATGATCACACCTACTTTTCCCTAAACCTGGATCCTTCCCACTCTGATCAAGAGAGAGAGAAACACAGACACACACACACACAGACAAAGAGAGAGAGGAGAGAGAGAGAGAGAAGAGAAACAGAGAGAACGAGCTCTTTTGGTTCACACCCCATATGGCCCCAATGGCCAGAGCTGAGCAGGTCCAAAGCAAAATTTCAGGTGCTTCTTTCAGGTCTCCATGGGTATAAGGGCCCAAAGACTTGGGCCATCCTCTGCTGCTTTCCCAGGCCACAAGCAGAGAGCTGGATCAGGACTGGAATTGTCACGACTTGAACTAGAATCCATAGGGGATGCTGGCACCACAGTTGGAGGATTACCATGCTATGGTCCCCAACTAAGGACTTTTATAATTAGATTAGTTGATTCATGCAGAATTAATTTTTTTTTTCATAAAAAGATGACACAGAGCATAACCTATATACAATGCTAGCAACCTAGGCCTCCAGTGCCTCTTACGGACTAGATGAGCTATTGAAGGAAAGGTCATCTAGTCCACATTCCTCTATGAATAAGAGGGGATATTCTCAAATTACCTGTGGCATAGATGCATCTGCCAATGATTAAATCATACCTATTAGTATTCAAAATATTTCATCATGAGCGTGTCTGTTTTCAAAGTGCTAGGGGACATTAAAGAAAGCCTAAAGCTCAGAAAACTCCTGTGACCTCCCAAGAAAACACCTGGGGAATTAAGCTATACACTGAAGAGTTAATACTCATTCATTGTATCAAATGACTTCGTAAATACTCTGAAATCATTATTCAATTAAAAATCATAATATGTCAATCAAAAGGACACTCCTTCCCTCAGCTTTGAAGATGAGCTAATTAGGGCACAGAGAGATAAGGGAGCAAATTGCATTTTGAAATTCTACAAGCGGAATCGCTCTTCTATGTTACATCTCTATGCTGCCATGAAAGTACTTCATGACCAAGATCATACTAACGTCAAGATAACAGTGTGTGTATGTATGTTTAACGCAGCAGTTTATCTGTCTGTGTCTCAACTCAGAATACCTGGGTTGGATTCTCTGCTCTAGTTCCTGACTCCAGTTTCTTGCTAATATGCCTCCTGGGGAAGTGGCAGGTTGATAGCTCAAGTAATTGGGTCCCTGCACTCATGTGACAGGCCTGGACGTGAATTCCCAACCCCTAGCTTTGGCTTGATATTGCCCTGAATGCCCCAAGCAATTGTGCAATAAATAAACCAACAAATGGGAGACATTCATTCTCCATCTCTTTGTCTCTCTCTCTCTCTCTCTCTCTCTTTCTCCCCCATCCCATAATGTCTCTCAGCCTCTCAAATATATTAAAAAGTCTTTTTTTTAAGTTATAGAAAAATGAAGTCAGTTTTAAAAAAGACTACGGTTTTGTGGGACTGCTGGACTTGTAGAATTCCTAACATTGTACATTTACAAAACAGCACTAAGTAATCTCGCAAAATGCTAGTGCAAGGCCTTAGACTAATAGGCAGGATGGCCACGTATCTTGTAGTTTTCTTTTTAATTTTTACTTTTGATGATGATTAAATGTTTTGTCAGGGTGGGAAGGATCGAGGTTAGGGAAGAGTGTGTCAAATCACTGTTTCTAAATTTTCTATTTCTGTTTGATTCTGGGGTAAAGGAAGAGATAAAGAGGGAAGCCACACCCAGCTTCCCAAATGTCCCAGCACCCAGGGATGGGGAACCACCACTTGACATCCACCCAGGGTCCCAATGTGGTGCATGTTCCAAGGGTTCTGAACAAGTGGTTTGGTCAGTTTTGAAATGCCGTCCAATCAGTGATCCAAGGGTGAGGCAGCCCTCCCAACGACTATTGGCTGACCTCAAGTCTCCATTCACCCAAATATTTGCTGTCATTGTTGGTGAGGTAGTTGTTCAATTTGCTCTCTTTCATCTGCTATAGTGCAAATGGGCTGCTATATTCTCCATGTACATCAGGGTTTGAGTACACTGCTCCACCTTTTTAATACAGGTCAGGCAACCCAAGTTCCACTGGATGCCCCATTCCCTGGGCTCACAAATCCAGTACCCACCTCACTGGTGGGCCCAAGAACCCAGGCCAGGTGACCTGAGCCCTACCAAATTCCCTGTCCCGAGGGCTCACAAAGCTGGAATCCCCTTGCTGGTAGACCCCAGGACTCAGGCCAGGCGATCCTAGACTTGCTGGATTTCCCATTCCTGGGGCTCACGAACCTGGCACCCCCCTTGCAGGCAGGTCCCAGGACCCAGGCCAGGTGACCTGAGCCTTGTTGGATCTGGCGTGTTTTTTGGCTTTTTAAAACAAGTGTAGAAGATGATTGTTTCTCCCCAAAGCTACATCTAGCAAGACAGCATACCAACCCCCCTGCTGGTTTCTAGTTTTAACATGAGAATAGCAAGGAGTGGAAAGAAGTTATCAATCTCACTGTCTTGAAGGCTTTTTGCTTTACCAAGTGCAAGCCAGACAGGATTACAACTCTGGCCTTCTGATCAGTTTTTCCCCTGCCCTCTTACTGTTGGTTAGTTTTTATTCTGCTCAGTTGCACTGTAACATTATTTCTACCATGTTCTGGGGTTACCCTCTCTCGGAGTACCCCTCCTGATCTCTGTGGCAGGAAGTTTCTATCTTTAATCTCTTTTTGCTCATTGAATTATCTCTATGAAAATTCTTTTGCATGAGACAAGAACCCAGGTTGCCTCTGTCCTTTACATCAATTTCCCGGCAGCACTAGAGGACACACTCATCATTCCCATCAGGGTCAAATTGGTTGCTTTTGGATCACAGTGTTTCACAACAGCCCATCACAATTCACCCCATTGGGTTCTTTCTCATCACGATCATTGTGTGGGGAATCACAGAGCCACTGAAACACAGGTCAGCAACAGCAGCCTGCTGGCATGAAGGAGGATGAGAGGGTGAATCCAATGCTTGGGAGTTACTGCCCTGGCTTCATCGAGGACCTTTGTATTCCTCATGGCATGAATTCACTGTATTTAGGTCATATTCATGAATTCACAAATTCTTGTGTAACCTTGAATTTAATAAGGAATCTGTGAAGTTGCACAGGCATAACATGCAGTGCTAAAAAGAAATGCCACATCTTGTGTCACTAGAGAAGAACTAGCTTAGAGTTTTAGTAGGCTCGGAGGCCCAACTTGTAATAGCAAGACACCCTGTTGTGACTGTTGTCTTCACCTCCACAGCGATAATTAATATTATGACAATGACACTAAAAAGAAGTCAATGCTAAATTCCCAACTAGCCACAATGGAGAATGTAGAATAGAATGAATGAGATTGTACTTCTAGACATAACAAGCTCTTTTGCTTTCTGGTTACAGGATCAAATCTAGAATAAATACATAGCCTAAACCATTTTAATCTACATGTGTGTTAACTATTCTTACTCATGATCAACTTACTAGTTATTTCTGATGTCTCATAAGTTGCCTGCATGTTAATATGCAATGTTTTCTTCAACCTAATTGGTTGTTTGTTACTTATTATTCTCACCATGGAATAGCTAGAACATTTTCAACATTAGTGATGGTATGTCTGTGTCATCCCGGTGAAAAGACTTCAAACAGAAGCAAAAAAGTCTTTGAAGAGCTTGTTAGACAATTCTGCCACATCAAGTTAAAAACTTGGAGCAATTAATTTTTAATGGTGTGATTTTGGTAATTTATTTCTCCAAAATCAAAATCATAAATTTGTTCATAGGTACCATCACCTTGAAACCATCTTTCTAATATCAAATTTTTCGATCACATATTTAAAAAAAATATAGAAAGCCAAACTTCTAAAGCAGAAATTCATCAGAGTGTCAGCCAGAATAAGGGTCATTCTCATCTGTTAGAGATTCAGAAACTTTGAGAATTGCTTTGCAGAGCTTTTTGGAGAGAAACTATAGGATGACCTTAAAGGTGATGAATTTGTTGTAGGGGACAGATGTATTTCAGTTGTGGGGCAATTTTGAAGCAAAGCAAAGGAATTCAATATTTGAACGTATATGGTATACAGACAAAGGTACAACAGTAGATATAAATCAGATAAAGTTTGTAAAAAATTCACTGTAAGTTGATCTACTAATGATTCAAGCAGAAAACAAATATAAATATGGAAGCAACTGATGTAAACCCGGACATCCTTCAGTAGCAGAGGGTGAAACATGACAAGTGGGAAAACAGTGCTTTCCAAGGTGTGGAACCAGTGAACTGACCTTTCTTAGCCAAGCTGCTGTTGGGTTCATACTTCTCGATCAGCACTTGGACCTGTTCTTGTTTCAGAGGTGGGTAAAGTATTTCATTCAGCCGTGGATCTCGCTGCTTGAGGTTGATGAAATCCATCATCTGGTCAACGGTAAGATACGGTTTGCTTTTGGCACCACTGAAAGCATTTGAAATCAACAAATCAGAATATGTTGAGCAAAGACTCATTCATACATTTTTTTTAACTAGATGGCAAAAATCATGCCATACCTGCTAAGAGCATCCTATAATAAATTCCTAGCTTGCCCTAAAAACACTGTGCTGCCCCAGCACATTTTCTATAACTGCACGAGCCATGCAGTATCTCCTGAGTACAAAGCATTCCTCACCACAAAATCCCAATGCTGCTGACAGCTACCAAACACAAAGGAAAATTGACAGCAGGAAAACTCTGTCTTATAGGTGTATGGAGACACTTGAAACTGAACACAGAGCTTGTTTGGTTTTTGATTATGACACTACATTTATGATTTAGTCCTAAAACTTCCTTACTCCATTTAATCATTTGAAGGCATATCTTGCTCTTCATTACTTAAAAAATCAGTATCACTACATGAGCATATGTTGAACTTCCTTGAAGTTACACTACACTACAGTAGAGTGTGATTCCAACTGTTCATTTGTTTTGTAGTTCTGTCCATGAGTGTCACAAAGCAAGAGCTTGCGGTGAACAGTGCCATTCTCAACAGCACTGTGTGTCTATGTGAACTCTCACCTTGTCTACTATTTTTGGATTGATTTTTTGCCTCGGGTAGGGTTTAAGTATATCAAGAAAGGTAATTTGTTCTTTCTCCAGATTTACCTTGGTCTTTCATTTTTTCAGATTTTTTCCCATTCAGCAAAAACAGTAATCTATTAGTTAATAACATCTAACATAAAACAAACACTTTCTAACTCACGCAGTGCAGAGGGGAAATGACTAGCTCCCAGGCCGGAGGTCTCTGTGCGATTCTATCTTAACTAAGCCATGATGCCTTCTTGTTTTCTCTCTGTTGTCTTCCAACTAGTCATCTGAGCACATGGAAGCAACGAAACCAGCAAGAAAGCCCACCAAACTTCTGCTCATTGTAAGCGGGCAGTGGTTGCACCAAGGAGCCAGGATAGACGAATCCAATCCCAGTTCACACAGGAGAGCAACTTTGGTGAGTGATTGTCTTTGTCTCTCCCTGTTACTGCTCCATATCCTCTCAGTCACCTTGAGTGACAAGAAGAGAGGGTGGGCACTAGGTGTAGCCATGAAGATGCTGCCTTGCAATGCCTCATTGTTGGGATACTGGCTCTGGACTTCACAGGCCTCAGGGGACTGGGTACAGAGATTCAATGGAAAGCAAGCTTAGTGAAATGCTCATTGCTCCAGGACAGTCCTAAACCTGCAGACACTTCAAACTGCTGAGACAATGCACTGTAAATTTCACGAATGAGCTTTTCTGTGTATGCCCACCCACTAACCAGGGTCCCGGTGGTGCCAGTACCTATCTCCTTCTCCCATGCTTCCCTGCCCCCAACAACCCTCTTAAGAAGAGACTTCTCTGCAGAACAAAAACCCCTGCCCTCCAACTCGGCTACTACCTCTCTGTTTATCCCCTCACTTCCATCCGTCCCCCTAGAATAAAGTCTTCTTTATTTTAGCTAGAGGCCCCCTCTAATTTTTGAACACTAAAATCCCAAAACCTGACCTAAAAACCAAACATGCATCCCAGTCACAGTTCCTGAGTTTGATTCTCGCCTCTGCTTCCATTCCACTTTCCTGATGAAGGAAACCCCGAGGAGCTACAGGCAACGGTTCAACACATGGAGCCTTGCCCCTGCCCGACCCCACCACCACCATGGGAGACCCTGAGCTAAGCTCCTGGATCCCATCTTTGCCCTGACTTACCCCTGACTGCTGTGGGCATTTATGGAGTAAACCAATGCACAAGAATCTATGGGTCTGTTTCTTTTCATTTTAATTTTTCAATAAATAAAATAGATATCATACATAAGTGTGTGTATGTGTGTATATATGTATGTGTGTGTGTGTATATATATGTGTGTATATATATTTTAAGAAGGGTTAAAGTATGTCCTCTTACAATTCAGAAAAGATGTTATCAATTTCAGGTCGAGGGCAAAGGTTGTTCAGGAAAACTCTGTACACTTCCGGAGTAAAGTCCTCTTGAGGTATTGAATCATTCTAGGAAATAAAAGCACAGGGTCAACACACGGGCCTCCTCCTTCCTCAGCCTCTTCCCTCCTGCCATCTTCTCAGTAACCATTCCAACACATCTGTGTAGCCAGTCCGTGTCGACATTCGATATGAAATATCCAGCTCCCATTCTCTGTTGCTTTCTTACTTTAAAGGTTTTTCTCCTTCTAAGAAATGTTAAGGTAATTTTCTAAGTCTATTTACTAAAAATAAGTTAAACCTAGGAAAGAGGGTCTGTTCAGAATTTTTTCTGTATTGAACCTTGCTTTTATTTTGGTAAAATTGACTTAACATAAAATCCAGTATTTTGATCACTTTAAAGTGTATGAAGTATATGCATCTTGAGGTTCACAGTATTTTGAATAAATATATATATATTTTTAAAAAAGCAATGACTCGAGGCAGACATGAAAATGAAAACATAAAGGCCAATGTGCCTTTGTATTTCAAACAGCGCTCTTTCCACTTTAAGCTGGTAAGTTGCAACATAGTTTTTGTAAGTAGGACAGTGCTAGCCACCATTTTTCATCGATTGTTCCTGGTTCTATTGTTTGTGCGGGAAGACATTGATATAAAAGCTACTTGTAAGGCTTATTTCTGTGTGTGGCTGGGCTGCCATGGAAACCAGAAGCATGCATTCAAACCTCGGTTACAGGAACAACATGCCACAGTTTGCTCATTGCAGGTTCATATTTTTATTTCCACATGTTTAAAGACGACCCATATTGCAATGTTTTGAAATGTACTTCTACAGACATTTCTATAAAGTTGTCTGAATTATTGTCTGAAATGGCATACAGCTTGTTAACAGATCAGAGCATTCAGCTCAGCCTTGGTAGACAGAAGTAGCCCTATACAAGAAGTCGCCAAAAATTAAATCCATTTATTAAGAGGGAAAGGTCTATTCTGCAAAGTTGAATTTTGAGGTATTCACATACACCTATCATTATGCATTGAGAAATGCATGATATCATGACACTAAGGCTACTTGGACACAAAACTGTGAAGTCGTAAGTTTAAGGAGTGAATCTGGGAATAGTGGGAAATTCTATTTTACTGCTTTACAAAATGGGCAAGTAGAATTCCTAAACAAGTTTGCCAAACTCCATTTGAGTTAAAAAGAGAAAACCATATGGCTGGTTGGTACAGCATTGTTTAGTGCTGTCCTATTAGAGAATAGAAACCCAAATTTCTTCAAGTAAATTTGCCTAAGGGCCAAAAATGGAAGACAGGGAAAGAAAGATTTACACTGAGCTTCAAGAAACCCACCAGGTGCATGCAACTTCATCAGATACGAAGTTCTACGAACCCTGGAGTGTTGTCCGAGTTTGCCTGATAAAGCTCCGCTTGGCTGTCCCGCCTCACTGCTCACATAACATACATTGATTGTATGAAGCTACCAATAACTGCCTTTCGTTTCTTACTGGCCTTTTTTCTCTCCTTAGTCTCTTTCTCTGGAAAGCCCAGCCTTCCTCCTGGGCTTGGGTTTGTCTCCATTTGGGATACGCTCACATGCCTTGTCTCAGATTTCAACACTCTTCACCGACTGTGCTCCCAGATGTACATCCCCCTCTAATCCTCGCTAACCTGCACATATGCACAAGTTAGGACATGTTTATCGCTTGTTGCCTGCTCTATTTTGAGTATAAAATATACATTAGGTGTACAATAAATACGCCATAAGTACATGAATGCAATTAATGAGAATGGTTGAAATTGCTAGCTAGTAACTAACTATACATATATAACCTGTGTTATATTTCCCATGGACTATCAGACATAATGAGAGTCAATCTGTATGAGCCCAGATACATATTTTAACTGAACACACTACTAAAATCTAACCATTGATTATCTGCTATAAATTAGGACTTTCTATGAAAGGCAATCTAAATAAACGCAACATTATTTTCATTGCCAGGTATATGTTAGCACATGGAAGGAAATTAAGTTATCTTGACACAGACGGCTGGCCTTTGGCTCATTTTCCTTTGGCCAAACCTGACTGATGAGCATGTGTTGAAGTCCTGGGAGCCAGTGCGTGAGAATGGAAGACAAAGGTAAGTGAACAAAGTGAAAATAAATGAGCATGATTGAAAGTTAAGGTGAACTGGGATAAGGGAACTAGTAAGGGAAAAACTATGGAAAAAATCTCCAATTTCTCACATTTTCCACAAGGCTAAATGATACAAAGTTGATTCACAAACTATTTTTTTTTCCTCACATCTCACGACTTGGTCAAGTGGTTGACATTGATTCATTTTTCTTGGTATCCTAGGAGGAAACCCAAGGTCCAACACACTGAGTATCATGCTCAGTGTTGTCATTTTTCTCTGAATCCTTCCTGGCCGTGCCAGCTGGTGATGACACGTTTTTTTCTTTCTGTTCCAATTCACCCTTATGTATCTGCATTATTCCTTCCATGACAGTCTATCTTTTTAAAAACTATATTCCCAGTTTTGTAGACAGAGGCTTTGAGAGACATGGCCATCTTTATTTAATTCCTTTGTATTATCCGTAGGGTGCTTAGCATAATCAGATGGCTAATCAGTGTCTACTGGTTGAATCCAGAAGCTAGGCCAGACCTCATGTCTTCAGCTTTGCAATCTGGGGCTTTGGTTCATCAGGTTGGGCAGCTAATACAAAGCAGATAGTCCGTGAGCACTTGTTGCTATTATTATTTAAGCTTTTTGAAAGGAAAATCAGAAAGGCAAGCATAATTTGAATCAAAATCTAAATCAGGTCCATTTATTCCAGAAACTGCAAATCATTACAGACTGCAAAATATGTGATCGTTTCAATTTCATGCTGGTTTACAAGGGATTTCACAAGAGATCTGTGAAAATGTTGCTAGTAAGGCTGGCAGCATTTTTACATTCTAAACACCTGGTGGGTGTTACACACAGGCCAAATTAATAATAACAAAGCCCACCCACAGATACAGATGCCCACATATTAAAAAATACAAGGAGATTAAGGACAGGCAGTTACTGAGTACTTGTTTGACATCTAGTATATAGTTCTATTAGCCTCACTTGAGTATTTTGAATTAATTCTCATGCCAACTCTACCAAACTGGCATCATTGGGACCCACCATAACAGACAGTCACGGAATGAGATGTAATAGGATTTCTTAGTTAGGCCTTGGGTGAGTTCAGGATGGTTGAAGGTAAATTTTGGATCACATGATTAACTCTCCCTGTGAAGTAGGGAACTGTTCATATTAGCTTTGATATGGTGGGTTGCATGTTCTTCTTTATATATATTTTATAATTAAAAACTAATTATACGACTGATATGTTTTAACATTTAGAAAAATGTCACTTCAAATACACTAGGTTCCTGAAGTCAACTGTAATGAACAGAGCTGACATACAAATATTATTCTTGGCACGTCAAGGAATTCTTTCTAGTAAATTCAAAAAGTCAACCTTTTTCTCTCTCTTTTTTTTAAATTCTGAAACTATGACTAAAAATTAGAAATTAGCCCCATCATATCATTCATCATCAACTCGGTATTTAACATGGTTTTGGTATAGGATGCTGACATTACTGGTTTCTAAGATTCACAATTATTAAAACAGTTATGTTTCTTACTTGTATTTGGGATAGAAGGCATAGAAGAAGGGTACACAGCACAGTTACGCGTACCAGGCCCAAAAGTTATTCTTATTATACATTATTTGTTAGTTAAACTTATGATTTTTTAAAATCTTAAATAATTAGTTCAGCTTTGTGCGAACAGAAATAAACTATTATCAGTCCTCGGAAAGTTTGTAAACAAAGTGGTAATCCTCTGAATATGAAAAGGTTTCCAAAAGATCTCACTGCAAAATATGTTCAGATCATTCACAGAAGGATACTAATTACTTTGGCTCACATTCACACACAGTAATTTTTTTTTTTTCCACAATTAAGGTAACTTTAGGGTAAGAAAGTAATCTCTAAAGGAGTACTGTGTAAAAGAATGTGCTATTGCAATGGATCATCTCAGCCAGGATACAAGTTCAAGTGAATTAATTATTCCTAACAATGTGCACACAGATAATGTTTAAAACAATCTCAACAGGATATCCACTGTTTCTGGTAACGTACCTATTTACAGAACACAATAAAAATGTAGTTTGAATAAGAGCTGGCTATGAACTTGGGCCCTTGTTATACAGAGCTACCTTCCATTTTTACAGCATTTCTCTTCCGAGAAATGTTCAACATATTTCGTTAAAATTTCCCAAATCTTCTTGCTAATTAGTGCAGATTTCTTAGAGCCACTGTATATAAATGTGAAATTACCAAATGGATTTAAAATATACTTTTGATGCACCATAGTCAGTTCACGGAAACACTTTTGTCCTGACTCTGAAACTGACTTTGGGTTTTACATTTTTTTTTTTTTTTTAAAGATTTATTTTTATTATTTTGTTATTGGAAAGGCGGATATACAGAGAGGAGAGAGACAGAGAGGAAGATCTTCCATCCGATGATTCACTCCCCAAGTGAGCGCAACGGGTCGATACTACGCCGATCCGAAGCCAGGAGCCTCTTCCGGGTCTCCCACGCGGGTGCAGGGTCCCAAAGCTTTGGGCCGTCCTCGACTGCTTTCCCAGGCCACAAGCAGGGAGCTGGAAGGGAAGCGGGGCTGCCGGGATTAGAACCGGCGCCCATATGGGATCCCGGGCGTGCAAGGTGAGGACTTAACCACTTGCGCCACCGCGCCGGGCCCTTTACATTTTTTTTTAAGCATTGTAATTCTACAAGACCTTACAGTAAATTATACTTTACCATGGATAATAGTCTTTCAAAACGCAATGATTGAGGTTGATTATATTTTTAAAAATATCCCGTTTGTTTCCAGAAAACTGCCGTTATATTCAATTTGCTAAAGATAAATACATTTTCCCCAATTTAAGCATGACTTGAGCTATCTGAATCTCATTTTACTTTCAAAATGTCTCCAAGTTGTTATTGTTTTGAAAGTCTGAACCTATAATAGACATAGCAGATTGTTAAGACTCAATTTATGCTTATTGAGTGAATTTTCAGGATTCAATTGTTCAGAAAATTACAATTTACAGAGAATTGGTTGATGAATTTGATTTTCTATTTAGCTTCATTTTCTTTTTCTTCCCCTTAGCTAAATCTATAAAGTTTAGTTAAATTTTTTAGTCCCCATATTCCATAAGATGTTAGCCGGGGAAATTAAAATTGAAAGTGACTGCAAAAGAAAAGAAATATGTGCAAACCCATTTCTCATGCATGAGTTTTATGCTGAATACAGGGTCTTTCCTGATCTACTCAAAAGCAGTATTTTCTTCCCAACCTCACTGCTTCATGCATAGCTTTCTTTTTTTTTTCTAGAATAAGCTCCCCTCATCCTGCGTGGCATTATTCTATCTTTAAGAAAAATGAATATTCCACTTCACTTGCCTCCAATTTAGAAATGCATTTGTTGATGTACTTCTAGTTTTGTTCTCCCAGGAAACTGTATGGCCCTTAAAACCTGGACTTCATTTCGTGCACCACCATATACTGAATAGCTCCAGGTACTTGGTAAGAGCTCAAGAGATATGATGGGTGCATACCAGGATCTTTAATTTTTTTTTGCATTGTTAATGTTTACATGGTTGAAAAGGATGTAGACCCTTGAGGAGTGCCTCTGATTAGGGTGGGGAGGCTCCAGGCATGGAGGAAACATACCAGCACCTTCATTGTTCTATCTTTCCTACTCCGAAGGATTAGCAAGAGAGCAGTGGGAAGCAAGTTCAAGCATTGTATTTTGTGCATAAAGTGAGGGTAAAATGCTTCAGGAGGTTGACGCACAGCTCTGACCAGGGTTTGCAGCATTATTTGTCTGTTTTCCTTGCAGAGCAAGTGGTGGTAGTGGAGAGACATGCTTTTTTCCCCTCTTTTTTTTCCCAAAGTAATGAATAAACTTCATATTTCTGAAAAGTAGTCACAACAAGAATTGACTGATGAATTTAATTGCACAGAATAGTTGTTCAAACTCCTGAAGTTCTAAGAGTGGCTTTATGACTTTTTTTTCAGTGCAATTTTCTCATCATTAATGTGCTTAAAGAGCTGAGCATTCTTCCTATGCAGTCAGTGGTACCCTTAGGTAACCGCTTTCTAGTTGCTTGGATACTAGGATAGAAGTGATTTGATAATGGGAAGGAGACTTCTACATATGGTATGAGGCATGGTTTTCAGCAATAGATCCCTCTCTGAGAAACAATGGGAACAAATCACTTTTAGAGCCTGTTATGTAGAAATGAATGGAAATGAATGCAAATTCCTTTATTCTAGGTCAGAGACTTTACAAAAGCTTGTCATGTTCTCTGTTACCTCGTGCGCTAAGCAGGTGGTCTCTCAACTTTTTCATATACTTCTCAGTAAACATCTTTTGAGTGTGGCCCTGTACAGTTTGTAAATTCACTGCAATCATTCATACACACGTTATTATCCCAGAAAGAGCTATGTAATTCACAACTCTTAAAACTAGAACTTTATAAATGATTAAATAAAAGTAATATTTCATATATCTAGGTAAACATAATAGCTTCATATTATCAATATCTCAAGAGACTCCAAAATAGGATTCATTGTTCAGGATATGTTTGCGTCTACATTTCAAACTGTCTTCTTGCTTACATTGATTTTTCTTGCCTAATTTTTCTATACTCCTTGACTAGACGACTGGGTTTTGATCTGCAAAATTTTAATCACTTTAGGTAGAAATACTGATGTTATGGGAGTAAAGAAGATAATCAGGGAGTGAAGTCATAACCAGACACTGCAAATATTAACAAGTGAGTCACGAGCTTATAACAAAATGGTCCTTAGGCAACCCAGAGGTGGTGCACAGTTATTGGGAATTCGTAAGGACACGTTACTCTGCTGTTGTTGCAAGGCCACATGCTCACCCTTGAAGATGGAAGACTGCAAGCCTCCAAGGCAGTTTCCACTCGCTTCCGGTCTGCTGAGAACAAACGATAAATGCTGCAAAGTGAAAACACAGCAATAAGAGGATGTTCAGAAAGGACGTGGGTCATAACACCTAAGGATGCTGCCCACTCACACTTTCCCATCGAATTACTTCCATGTTTCTCATCTTTATTTTTTGAAAAGATTTATTTTATCTTTATTGCAAAGTCAGATATTCAGAGAGGAGGAGAGACAGAGAGGAAGATCTTCCGTCCAATGATTCACTCCCCAAGTGAGCACAACGGCTGGTGCTGCACCGATAGGAAGCCAGGAGTCAGGAGCCTCCTCCAGGTCTCCCACGCAAAGGCAGGGTCCCAAAGCTTTGGGCCATCCTTGACTACTTTCCCAGGCCACAAGTAGGGAGCTGGATGGGAAGCAGGGCTGCCGGGATTAGAACTGGTGCCCATAGGGGATCCTGATGTGTTCAAGGCGAGGACTTTAGCTGCTAGGCCACCACGTCTGGCCCTGTTACTCATCTTTAAACAAGATTACTCACTTCTCCATACATTTGCATTTGGGTTCTCATATATCTATGTGTTTGCTTGTCAAAATTGAATATTTTGAGTCAATAGTGACAAAGCAGTTGAAACTGCTGTATTAAATAACCTGTAATAGTCACCACTAAATCAAATATCCATACCAACACTGTCCATTTGTGCTCCCTCATCCAATGCTACAAAGGTATACACTGCATTATTAATAGCCGAACTTATTAGAAGTTCATAGAAAGTTCAAAAGTCAAAGTTAAAGACATTTGGTTGATGTGGTCTAGGAGTGTACTTTTATTGGTCACTGATTAAAAAAAAAACAGAACTGAAGCACTAAGATCATGAAATATAAGACAATCTGGTTTCTGGAGCTAATTGCACTTGGCATACTCTGGAGGTGAGGCCCTTTGATACAACTTTGCTGCTGGGTTTTTCTTGCTATTTCTAGCTTGCCTGGCTCCTGTTGGTATCTGAATGTGCAGGCGCTTATGACTGACTAGCACCAATGTTAATGCAATAAAGCACCAAGGCCTTCTGATTTTGCACTAGATCAGATCTGAATTCCAGATTGCCTTCTGGGTTTATGCTGCAAGGTTCCCTCCACCCCACCTCTCTCCCTTCCTGTGTAAGTATTTATTGAAAATGATGCCACAGGAAAGGGCGCCCCACGGAAATGTGTGTGAGCAGCCCTGGCTGTGCCTGAGTGAGACATGCGCTGAGAAAGGACACTGTTGCCATGTATTCCCATGCTCCCACTTCAGCTTCTTGAGAAACAAAACATAGCCATGGCATGGATTCAACTCTTTCAGAAAAAGAAAATGAATCATGGGAAATGTTCCTAAAGCTTACTTTTTAAGAGGTATACGCCCTTCTGGAGTGACTTGAAGCTTCAGTTTAGTATACCTGTTGGAAAAGCAGAAAAATAGGGTTTGAATTTTTTAAAATTCTTTATTGCAAAATAAAATACACAGAATATGACTCAAGTCTATTTACAGTGTGCTGAGCTTTTATACACTGCCTCAGCTCCAGAATCAGCATGCAGATGGGGAAGCAGAATATTGTCACTTAGACCATGTCCCCAGAGTCCCTTGCATCTCCTTCTAGAATCTATCTGCCAGAGAGAACTGTTATCTTGAATTTAAACAACATGAGCTATTTTTGTCTATTTTTATCCTTACATAGATGGAATCGTATGATTTTGTGTCTGTATTCTTTACTTGATATTGTGCTTTTGCAACCCATCTACTTTGCCTATTATTATTTTCATTACCCTATGTTATGAATGCAGCCACTCAACTTATCTCTTCAACCGTTGATGGACATACAAGTAGAGAAATCAAGCAACAGAATTTTCAAACACTCCTAATGGGTGCATATATTGGAAATACAAGAGTCTCCACAGATATTTTTTAAGACTTTCGTGTGTTTTTCTGGGAGACAGATTAACAGAAAGAAGAGAGAGAGGAGAGAGGAGAGAGGAGAGAGGAGAGGAGAGGAGAGGAGAGGAGAGTAGAGGAGAGGAGAGGAGAGGAGAGGAGAGGAGAGGAGATCTTCCACCCTCTTCTTTATTCCCCAAATGGCTGCAATAGCCAGAGCTGAGCTGATCCAAAGCCAGGAGTTTCCTCCATGTCTCTGACGTGGGTACAGAGGCACAAGGATTTGAGCCAAACTTGGTTGCTTTCCTAAGCTAGTTTTCCAAAACTGGAGGGGGAGCAGCCGGGACTTAAACTGGTGCTCAAATGGGATGCCAGTGCAGCAGGTGGAGGATTGGCTGCAATGCCATACAACAGCCCCCAGGGGTTTCTCGGAACTTAAATATTGTAAAAAAAATTGATATTTGTTTCAAAATTTCTGTAGCAAAATATGTTTATCTTTAAATTCTATTTTTGTAAAGTTAGAGTACCCTCATACTTTAGGAAAATGTACATGTTATGACACAGAAATCTCACAAATAGGTGTGTCTAAAATAAAGATGTTTATAAAATGTGTAACCCAAAGAAATGTTCCAGAATATCCAAAGCATCTATTCTCAGGGAGACACATATCTGGATTTGACATTTGTAACAGACCAAATCTGGTCAAGTAGTTCTCGTATGCTATGTTTTAGGGAAACGATCTTAGCTCTCTGTCCCTTCTACTAAGTGTTCTGGATAGTTGTTCAATAAAAGGAAATAAGAATAAGGGAAGTTTTGTTGTTGTTGTTGTTTTAAAGCAAAGGCAGAAAAGAAGGATGGAGGGGAGGCATCCGGGAAGGGTTCTTAGCAAAGCAAACCTGGAGATGACTTTATAGAAAAGCATTTCTGTGAGCTACTGTGAGCTACGGACTCAGCATGAAAGCAATGTGGTGGAAGGGTGTTGTCTAGACTCAGGAGTGGATCTTACATGAGGAGCCAAGAGATGAACTACTGAGTAAAATGGTGCTGCCTGAGCTTCTGGTAAAGTTTTCCAAAACCCTGGACCAGCCACAGGTTCCACAATGAACACAACCAGCTGCTCCTGTTGCAGGCCTCAGTTACCTCATTATTTTCCTTAGTCAAAAAAATTTTTGAGAAAGGCTGCTGGTTTCCAGAATGATCTGCCCAGTTGTTTGGCTTTTATTTGTCCTCCCTTTGCTCTTTCCTCCATATCCTTTCTGTTTTTAGTTTCCTCCAAGTTTTTCCTTTTTTTTCAGTCATTGTCTATCAGGTCGGGAGGCAGGGCATCAGTCAAATGAATGAAGTGGCAGGTGGGAATTACTGTAGCATCTGTCAGTGGTCCATGACTCTCGAGAATTGAGTAACATATGCCGTCCATTCTCTTCCTCAGGTTAATAATTGATAGGACAGAGGCAGGTGTAGAAGCGGAGGATGCTTAGAAATGAATAACTTCTAGTTTGGGACACAGCTGCCTGGATGTAGAAGTAACTTCCGACTGTGTGTCAAAGGCCTTGGCATTCAGGCAAGCTCAGCCCAGGCACAATGTGCAAGGGGAGGGAGAGCAAGCTTTCTCGGGTGTCTTCCCACTCTGAAGACGCCAGGTATCAGCTCTCTAACAAATCCCAAAGGGAAATTTATGTCTGTCAATGTGAGACGCCAGTGTAGTATAAACAAAAGACTCACCGAAAGAAAGGAAACTGACTCAGAAAACGCAATAGCAATAAAATTAGAGCGACTTACGCCTTTTCCAGAAATGCATCCCTGGACATGTTTTGGGCCAGCAGGTTTGTTGCCAAACTGAAAACCTCATTTGTCCATTCCTGAAAAAAATATCAATCATACTTGCATTAGCTTCAATCCTGCACAGTCATTAGTCACACACGTTTAGTCTAGCTTCTAGGAAAACCAATTAGTTCCATTTTGATGCCAAAGGGTTTCTTTTTTCCCGTCTCTTTTCTTTAAAGTAAAAAATGACATAATTAAATTCAAATCCCTGAGTGACTACCCTTTTTCTAAGGAAATGTTCTTTACATATAAAGTTTCTCTGCTTTTCAAAATCCCTACAGATAAGAAATGGCTATTTGTCCCTTGAATAACTCGGTGTTTTAAAAAAAAAATTCTCTTGAATTATAAACAAACCATAATAGGAAAGTTTAAAGTATTTTCAAATGTACTTTGGATAGAACTATAAATACAATATTCCTGCTTTCTGACTCACATCAAAGCAACCAGACTGCAGATCTTGGAAAGTCAGTTCCAGGAAGTCACCCTGTCATGTAGTATATGGTACCCCTCTCCTCAGCCGCCCCCTAACTCTGTCAATTCCACAGTACTCCCCAGTCTTCACTTCTGTCCACACCACTAACCGGTGAGCTCATCTGATTTTGGACAAATGAAAATGAGCAGCTCTACTAAAGCACTGGAGTTTTGTTCAAAGTATTGATTTTGAATGCACAGCAGGCATTGCACTGGACATACAGCATAGAAACTGGGCTACTGGATGATGTGTTCAGCTTCCATCTATATTTCAGACTCCAGATTTTTGCTAACAAGAAACCTGGGAGGCAACAGGGGATGGTTCAAATTGTTGCATCTTTGTCATCCCTTGAGAGAACCAGAATGAGTTCCATGATCCTGGGTGTAGCCTCAGCCAGTCATCATTGTTGTGTTTGTTTTTGCTGGAGTGAACTAGTGGGTGGAATAGCTCTGCCTGCCTATTTGTTTCACTCGTTTTCAAATACATAAAACCAAATGTAACAAAATAATGCAAAACATTTTCATTCATATTCTCAGAATGTGAGCACCTAGATTTCCAAGAATGGAATTCTTACTCTCCAGTGGCTTCTTTGTCCTTTTGTGATATCCCTAACCACATTAACCAAGGATAAACCACAGATTCAAAGACTGTAATAGTGATGAAAGGAAATTTAGAAACAACCCCAAGTGTTGGTTGGGTATTGGCCTCAGATGATATACAGGGTAGTTTAAAAAGTGTGTCTGAAAATGGAATTAGAAGATTAAGGGCTTTTTATAGGAAAACATTTTGAAATTCATGCATAGGTTTTTTTTTTTCTTCAAGATTTATTTTTTATTGGGATGGCAGATTTATAGAGAGGAGAGATCGTCCATCAGCTGGTTCACTCCCAGATGTCTGCAATGGCTGCAGCAGGCTGCTCAAAAGCCAAGAGCTGCTTCTGCTGCTCTCCCAGGTTATAAACAGCGACCTGGGTGGGAAGTGGAGCAGCTGTAACTAGAACAAGCGCCTATGTGGGATTCTGGTACTGCAAGCAGAGGAGTAAATTGTTTGAGCCACAGTGAGGGCTGGCCTTTCCTTTATTTCTTGTGATTTTTTTTTGGGGGGGGGGGGGTTGTTTGTTTTTTCATAGTAGGAATTTGCCACGGATATTTTGAGGATCCCTTACATGTATGAATTTCAAATTTTTTGCACTTCTCTTTTCATTTCCTTATGAAATTTTACAAGTACTCTCATATATGACATTGAGCTAAAGCAGCACATGTGTTACTTTGAGTTCATGATTCTGAGACATGGACTTAGGAGGAATTGGGTTTTTTTTTTAAAGTGTTCCTTGCTGACATTAAAAAGGAGTGAACAGGGCTGGGAAAGGAGAAGGAAAAAGCGTGAGATACAGCAGCCTCATGAATGATAACACTCACTTAATCCTTTCTGGGTAGACCTTTTCTCACAATTGGTGGTTTTGGACCAAGGATAAGGAGAAAAGAATATAGACACCATTACTGTGCTTGTGTCTTAGCTAAGGGCTGCTGGCTGCTAGAGATACTTGGAGACTTCCTGCTCACCTTGCAAACAGCAAAGGCTGTTCTAGCTTCTGCAAAGGGAACTCAAGCAAGAGACATGAGTATAGGATGTTGGGGGTGTTGTACATGCAAACAGCAAAGGGATTAGAGGGGATAAGGCAGAGGACTGCAGGGATCTGCTAGGCAAGATTGTGCAGCATTCCTGGGCACCAGCTACATCTACCTGATGCAAATTTGCATGTGGAATAGGAAGCTTAAGAAACAACTGGCTTGCATTTTGGTTAACTTTTCACGTGCCTATGAATTGGGAAAGGTCTTGCTGGAATCACTAGGTCTGGAGAGGAGACAGAGAGAGACCTTGTAGGTTCAGGAGTCCCCAAGTGAGGTCTGTGATAAGACCATGTCACAGTGAACCATGCTTTGGAGAAGACCTGTGGAACTGATGGAAAGCTTGTTGGAAATGCAGATGTTTTGATTCTGCACAAAGTGTTCTGGTTCAAACTCCTGTGTAATTTACACATTGAAGGGTTTGAACATAAATGAGGCCGAAGATAACATTCGGAATAACAGGGTATTCTAGAACTCAGCTAAGGAAACATGAATTCAGTCTGTTTCAACCTTGCCAGGCAAAGCAAGAAATGAATTTGATTATGACTTTTTGCATAATCACAAAGACCTTACAGCTATATTAGGATCCACAAGGCTGGAGTAGCTTAGAGCAGATGCAACCCATCGAGGGATTATGAAACATGATTTGCAGCAGGTAGCAGATTTCATCCTAGCAGCTTTTTCCTAAATCCAGTATTAGACTTTAGTTAATACGACAGGTTTTAATGTTAGGGCATCTTCTTATTGAATCTGGAGGATTTTATTTTATTTTTTTTTATTTTTTTATGTTTAGAGACAAAGTTCTAATGATTGCCACTATCTTTGGTCCAGCCCTTGAGGCTTTCTGATGACCATTACTGGCTTTATGATTAATCTCCTTTCATGACCCAAACTAGAGAATATGGTTTTAAAGTTCAATCTCCATGGATTGTGGCTGCAGTTGCATGTAGATCTATCCAATCTGTGGGATTCTTTCTGCAGTTCAGCAGGAGCTAGTGCGGTTACCGAGGTACAATTTTAACACCAAGAGAGATACCAAGTTCCTTCCAATGTTATAACAAGGTTAGTGTACTTTTATTGCTAGTGACTGAAGCCTGGTTCTTGGCACAGCTTTTGATGTTTTTGTTTAATATTCCTAAATACTGTTTCACAGTTACCAGCAGCTCTGTAGCTACTAAGTATTTACTGCATTCTGAGCTGGGTTTTGTGCAAACTATAACGAGGTCTCACAACGTGTTTCTAGTATGTAGGTAGTCATCGCTCTTGTTTCACAGAAGACTCCAAGCACTCAGTAAAACTTACGATGTCTCAGAGCTAATAAAAGTGTCTGGGATGAGATTACTGGTTTCTTAGGCTCCTGATCCTGCATTCTTGGATGCTGTGCTCTTCATCATCTTGTTTTAGAGAATTTGGGGTTGGCTGAACAAGATATAACAGATAGCTAAATTCACTTTAGCATATTATTTATGTAGCATTGATTTAGTATTTATCATGGTCCATTCCTCGTGCTGACACTTTGCAAATTATTAGCTAACTCAATCTTCACCACTAGCCTATGCTACACTGCCACTGTGTATTATAAATGAGAAACTCGGAGATATTCGATAAGGTCCCGCAGACAGCTCTATGCATGAAAGACACTGGAAACTGGGTTTGCTTCCAGAATAGGACACCTTGGTGCTGTGTTATGATGAAGAAATAAACAAAGTAGAGCAGAAATGACAGGAAAAATGATTATGGAGACAGGGGTGAGGTCAGCCAAACAAAAGTCAAAAGCCTCGGAGGCTTTCTTTCTAAAGATTTGTTTCCAAGGGGCACAGGAAAGAGAGGAGAGGAGAAGAGAGGAGAGAAGAGGAGAGAAGAGGAGAGGAGAGGAGAGGAGAAAGAGGGAGAGAGAGAGAGAGAGAGAGAGGTGGAAAGAGAGAAAGAGAACACAAGGACATTATGGAGAAATTGGCTCACTTTCATTTGAGAGCAGCCATTCTCAAATTTTCAGGTGCAAATGAATAATTGGGCATCTTGTTGCAAAGCTGATACAGAATTTCAAGGTCTCAGGAGGAGACACGGAGTCCATGCTTAGGAGACCCCTAGCTCCTTCAGGACAAAAGCCAGAGCTGCACCCTACTGAGCCAGGAGCCTAGGATTCTACCTGGGCTCCCTATGTAAGCAGCAGGGACCCACACACTTCTAACATACCACATTGCTCTTCTATGCACGTTAACCAGTAGCTGGATGGGAGTGGAACAGTTGGGACTTCAGCTGTCACCCTGATATGGCATGCCAATATGACAAATTTCAGAATGAAGGCCCCAATATTGTTTTGAAGGTAGTAGCCACCAGTTGAACTCATAGTTGCTTCGGCCAATGTAAAAAGGGTTATTCAATGGTAACGTAATCCAGTCATTTTAGATTCAAGGCAAAACTGAGTGGAAGGTACAGAGCCTCCCCTACCATCTAACTCCCTGCCATACTGATACATTTATTACATTAGTGAATCTGCATTGTCACCTAGACTCTGTAATTTACACTAAAAGTCTCTCCTGACATTGCATATTCTATAGGTTTGGTCAAATATATAACACCAGATATCATTATACAGAGTAGCTTCACTGCTTTGCAAATTTGTTTTATACCTGTTCATTCCTCCTTCTATCTAATTAATTTTAAAAACTTGGCCAGAATATGTAATAAGTTAAAATGAAAATATTTGAATATTGGTGAAATGGAGTTCCTACATATTCACTTTTAAAATTAGTTTGACGCCCCTGCTGCTGTTGATGATGCTGACTTAATCAGCTCCCCTCATAAGCAGGGAGTGCGCTTGGATTTGAGTCAGCAGGCACAGTGTCTGGGCCACTCACAGATGCCTCAGGTGGCTTAGCAGGTCTTTCACCTGCCGGTGGCATGCACTGGAATTCATCCTGCTGAGAATTTG